TTTTGAAAAGCTGAAAAAATGTCGGCCTTATGCCAGTTTAAGCTAAGTATACTAAATAGTTATACAAGAAAGGTTTGTTTATTTATTAATTAAAGAAAAGAAAGGAAGGTTGAATGATCTACTGATGAAACAATCAGTATTTATTATCATAATTAATTTGTTTTATTTGTTCATTGTCTCCTATGTGGAACGATCGATTTTCCAGTAGCAGGGGTGACAGGTGTATAAAATGGGTGATGATCAAAAAGAAAAGTGGAAGGGTTGACGTCACCATACCTTCCTCTCTTTATACCACTATCCTATTGGCTGATATCTAGTGTGACGTTTCGATTACTGCCATAAAACCTCTCCAGATTTTTCTCCTTCATACATACACACACACACACACACACACACACATATATATATATATATATATATATATATATATATATATATGTGTGTGTGTGTGAGCGTAAGAGAGACAGTTTGTCTTGTGTTATAATGGTTAGTAAGTTGTTCTCTCAGACCACTATTACTGAGCATTTAGTTCGGTTCTGCCTGGGTGCTCTGTTTGTGGCCTTGTGTAAAACTTAAACAAGCTTACATTATATATGTGTCTGTGTGCGTAGAGAGAGAGAGAGAGAGTAATACATATGCACACATACACACACACATTATATATATATATATATATATATATATATATATATATATGGTTCAGGTTTTAAAATTGCTCGGCCCGATATGCTTCCCAAAATTTGATCAAACGTACAAACATAATTTTGAAAAGCTGAAAAAATCTCGGCCTTATGCCAGTTTAAGTAAAATTTGTGAGGTGAAGATAGGTTTATTGATCTGGCTACGAACTTTTCACCCCGCTTCTCCCTCTCTCTCTCTCTCACACATACATATATATATATATATATATTCGAGTGTGTGGGTGTATTCACAGATACTCTTTGTCACTATGCTTACCTCCCTTTCTTCTTCAAACTTGTGTTCACACCTGCTAGAACGTTGGATCAAAGGGAATGTTAAACAAAGTTTAGCACAAGGCCAAATGAAGAATTGAAAAACTAGTAACTATTTATCCAACTATTGATGTATCTACTATTTATAAAATGCCCATTCTTTTGTTTCCAATACCGACCACTGGTACTGGGGTAGGAGATATATACATCTGTCTGAACCACGAGACAGTCCCAGCTAACAGTACACTCGCCCTTCCGTAAAGGATTGGCTATTTTCAGGTTATACCAGAAATGAGAACTCTTAGCAGACTTTGATTGAATAAATAAATAAAAGCGGCCGATGAGAATGAATAGGGATAAATGTAAGAGTTAAAGTTCAGCTAAGAGTGGCACAAGGCCAATTAAGGAGAGCGATAGTAAGGTAGAGAAAATTACGTTGCGGAAATGTTCATAATGGAGCAGCTAAGCCTTACTTGAAAATTGTTCTACTTTGACTTGAATACACACCTCTGATAGTTGTAGCTGAGACTCAACAGACTGACCAACATAGATACCACGCATGCGCGCGCGTAGATGTGTGTGTCTGTGTATTGACAGAAACAAATATGGAAACATGTATATGGACAGGTATATAGATAACTATATAAATATGAACAGAACTTTTTTACAGTGAGGTTCACTCTGTACAAGGCCTGAAGGCCACTCGAGGTAGAGGGTTAAGTTAAAGGGTAGTTTAAATGGATAGGAAAGGAAGATAACGGTTAATTCTAGATTCAGGTTAGGGATTGAAGGGATCGGGAAAGCACCCTCCTCGGAGTCTGTTCCATGGGGCAGAGGTTCGAGAGAATAGTTTCTTGAGTGGAACTTACTTCTCACCGTTGAAATACGGGGGGGATGTGGGAGATTTGCGACAATGTAAGTGGCATGGCGAGTCCTAGCCAAGAAGGTTAGACCTGGCGGAACCAAGTAATGTAGTTCTTCCGAGCACTTTCCATGGAAGTAACGATAGACTTGCCACATCCCGAATAAGGTTGGAGGGTGGAAAATAATTCTTCTCCAACAAGGGCTCGGAGACGCTTTTGAAAAGTGAGAAATTGGGCAGTTCCCGCACAAATATGGCAACAGCACTCTATTTTCGTCCTGATCGGGCTCTTCTAAAGATAGAGGATAGCATGAGGAGTCGGGTACTTACTAGAGCGGTACAGGGAGCCGGTCATTTTACCTACACCATAGTTATGGATTGTATATAAGAGTTCCACTTGAGGTCGGGTGTGAGTTTGAGGCCGAATATTCTCTCAAGATACGGACATCAGTTCATTGTGACTAGCGGTAGTTCGGGGTCTGATGGGCGCTGATGAAATGTAACCAGTTTGGTTTTTGAGGCATTGAATATAACCGGCCAGTTTTGTCGCCACTGGGAAGTTAGTGTAAGATCGGAAGAAAGTTCAGCTGTCAATCGCTGATCATCAAGAATTTTAGAGGTGCGCCGTATGATCGGCATAGATATTTACAAATGATCGGAGTATATTCTGAGGCAGATCATTTATGTAAATCAGAAAGAGGTTTGTTCCGAGAAGTGACCCCTGGGGCACTCCTGCATTGACCACCATGGCCTCGGAAGGCTGGCCGTTAATATCTACCTTCAGAGATCTACTTCTTAGGAAGGATTTTATAATTGAGTGATTTCATAGCTGGAGAGTTTGTGTAACAAACCTTTGTGCCAAACCTTGTTGAAGGTCTTCAAGATATCTAATGCTATGGTCCTCGAGGTGTGTTTGTCGTCAAAGGCCTCACTAAGTCTGTGTGTAATGGTAGTTAGGACATCAGCAGTGGCTCGGGTTGATCGAAACCCATACTGCTCGTCGCACAATATGTTGTTTCTATTTAGGTGCTAGACGACCTGCTTGTTCATTAAAGCCTCAAAAAGCTTATTGATCATACTGAGGAGACTAATGGGTCTATACTGGGTTGGGGAGATCGGTCACCCGCGTTCTTGAAAAACTGGATATACGCTTGCCTTCTTCCACAGGCTTGAGAAAGATTCCTCGTTCAAGCAGTGCTTAAATAACTTTGCTAGGATCAGGGATAATTCTGGGTTGACCTTTTTAAGGGCGACCACTGGAATTTTGTCTGGTCCAGTGGCTTTTTCCGGATTGAGGCTTTTGATAAGTCTAAAGATTTCTCTTACTGAAGTGAGTATATAACTGAGATTGTGCTCTGTGAAACGTGGGAAGTTAGAAAGAAGGTGGCCTTTGTCATCGAACGTTGAGTTTGAGGTAAAGATCTTTGCCTTGTCTGAGGAAGATATGATCTCAGGGCCATTTATAATAGTGGACACAGCCGCTTTGCCTCTGTTCATAATTTCGTTGGTGATCTTCCAGAATTCGCGAAATCTAATTTGTTTGTTTTCAACCTTGACTTAGACTTATTCGGAGATTGGGGCAGCAGTTTTGGGGTCAGCATTTTTGAAGAAAGTTGGCGAGGAACTTCTACCCTATAGGATCGAAAGCTGTCCCAGTCTGTCTTCGCATAGCGAAAAACAGTTCTATGGGGATGCCATTGGTTTGGAATCAATCTGCACACTGAATAGGGAACGGTCCGATGTGCCTATGGATGCTAGAAAAAAGTTGAGGAGGTTCGCTGGAGAAGTCTCTGCAATAATTGGTTTTGTTTAAGTGGACTAATCACTCTTTGTGGTAAACATTGAATTCACCTTCATTGCCATATTCCCAACGTTTCGGCCGTTGTACGCTCTGTCCTTCTTCAGGTGATTGGAATTTCGAATCGAACCCTTTATTTCGTCCATCGGGTGAATTGTTCTAGTTTCAAGTTCCATGGCTCTTTCGGATGTCTCAGTTTAAATCAACTCCCCAAGTTTTGATTCACCACTGTTGTGGCCTGGTATTGAACTCAAAACTCTTTGGTCTAGTCACTAGTGAGAATAACAGTCTGAATAATATAAATAATGCAAGTAATCATAATGCCTTTTATCAGAGGTATATACAGATACTGAATTCACTGCATATGTGAAATCTGGCCGAACGAAATTCGGTGATGACATTGCCAGTCCTCTCTGATATTCGATCGAAGATTACAAACTTTTCATCCTAAGGGCGATACGAATGTGGCACTAGGGATAAGAGCCATGCGGAAGCACATATACAGGAGCTAGGTGTCCTCGTTTTTTGTGTCCCTACTAAAGGAAAACCGGTCCTTGATGTAGGCACTGAGCCCGTGGCGACTTAGGCGGTCGTATTTTGTTATAATGGATGAGTCACCCGGGATTGTGAGCTCCTACCTGAGGCATTGATACCAGTTTCAGACAGGAAAAGGAGGTCAAGTTTAGACTGAAGATAGTTTCAATTCCGTAAAGTTGGAACGTGTAGCACCATTCCGTAAAGTTGGAACGTGTAGCACCATTCCGTAAAGTTGGAACGTGTAGCACCATTCCGTAAAGTTGGAACATGGACCACCATTCCGTAAAGTTGGAACATGGACCACCATTCCGTAAAGTTGGAACATGGACCACCATTCCGTAAAGTTGGAACATGGACCACCATTCCGTAAAGTTGGAACATGGACCTCTTACATTGGTGTAAGAGATGGTATGCCTGGTGTCTCCTTTCTTTGAGGTTAGGTTTGCTGGTTTTGTTAGTTTTCAATTTGATAGCTTTCATGTTTGCTTTGGTTGGATTGAGGGATGACTAGTAAGCTGCAAGGCAGACACACATTGGGAATGCACGTATAAATAACCTGAGTTGACTCGGTTGCAGCTTTCTTTTATGAGCCTCTTCAATTCCTTCCTCTCCATCCCCCGTGGCTTGGGAAGAAGAGATTGAAGAGGCTCATGAAAGAAAGCTTCGGTATGAGGAACTGGTGGCTGAGGTCCGTGAGATGGTATGCGGCTGCACCCCGATGACGTTCGAGGTTGGCTGTAGAAGCTTTTCTGCTGCTTCTTTAAAGAGATTCCTCAAGTGCGCTGGTATCCAAATGCCGAATAAGGTGATAAAGACCTGTGACGAGAAAGCGGTGGAAAGCAGTGCGTGAATTACCTGGAAATTCGTATCGAGTCGCGTCCAGCTAACAACATAGACCAATTGCAACGTAACATTATCCATCTGTTGCGGGTCCACCGTCTGGAGAGGTACTGAGCATATTGGGCCGAAACTTTTTTGAAGCACGGCGCTCGGCTGAAGATTGCAGCTGGTCTGGAGCACTTGATGTGTATATATGTTTTCCATATGCGTACTCAATTCTGAACGCCCGTTCGCACGCGTTTTGGCCTTAGCGAGTCTATCTCGCACGATATCGACTGGTCATTGGTTAGAGGACACCTACCCCCTGGAAAATTGTATTTGTATATAGCCCACAATTCGCAATTTTCGTGATATAAAAATATAAGTCTTATTATTGGATAATTCATCTTCATGAAAATAAGTCTAATTAGTTTTATTAGCAACGATGAGGTTTTGGACAAGATATAAACAAAGAGGAAACATATACTTACCATCAGTAAGAGGCAGCTGAAATTTCTGGGACACGTAATGAGAAAGGAAGGGCTTGGAGAATCTGATACTCACAGGGTGGATAGAGGGAACCAGGGACAAGGGAAAGCAACGTGTGACATACTTAACATGCTTAAGCAAGAAGACAGAACAAGGTTTGAGAGAAATAACAAAAAGACAATTTCTTAAGAGCTACAGAGGTGGGGGAGCCATGTTCGTCTTCGTCCTGAAACGACACGGTACATAAAAGAAGTGCCCCCCCCCCATAACAAAAAAAAAAAAAACTCGTGCTTTCTATTAATTTTCTCCTAATGGGGGCAATTGTCTTGGGTTCAGTTGTTTTATGGGGGGTAATTATACGGGAAGGGGGCATTTGTCCAGGTACAGTTGTCCTGGTGATAGTTCTCGTGATACCCTGGTCATTGTAGTTATGAGTAAATCTTTTAAATATATTTTTTTTCTTTTCAGTATTTAATATTACTTCTTTAACGCCATATACACTTCTGATCAAAAATTTATGACCACTTGAAAAAATTTTTTATAAGAGACTGTTTGTCATGGACACATTATAAACTTTTTCTTACTTAAGATTAATCTAAAAGGTTATATAGACAAAAGGTTATAATCCGATCAATTTATTCAGAAATGGACATTTTTATAAAATGGAGCGTTTTACATTTGATCAAAATTATAAGACCAGAGGATATAAAGTGTTAGATCTGGGGTAATTCCAATGTTTTTAGTTCAAAGATTAGCAATCACCGCGTAAAGGTGTCACCATGTCTAAAGCAAGCAAACTTACCTAAGTTGGACGTGCTCGAATTCTAGATTTCCATAATCAAAGTTTGTCACAGCGGACGATCGCAGCTAAGGTAAATGGCAGTAAAACTGTGATTTGCAACTTTCTAAAGGACAGTGCGAATTATGGAAATGCAAAGTCTACTGGTATGCCCCAAAATATTTCTCCAGCATTGAGTAGGAGAATAAGACGGGTTGTTGTGAAAGCCAGTGGACTTTCTTTTAGTCAAATTAAGGCAGCCACAGATGCTGATTGCAGTCCAGTAACCATCAGACGACACTTACGACAAAAAGGCATGTTAAATAAAAAGCGCAAACAACTTCCTCGGCTGCTTCCACGTCCCAAAGTGAACCTTTTAAGGTTTGGTCGTGAATACCATTGCAGAAGTGGAAGAAAGTCCTGTTTTCTGATGAGAAAAAATTCAATCTAGATGGTCCTGATGGCTTCCAACGATATTGGTATAACAAAAACATGCCTCCTGAAATTTTCTCCACACGTCATAATGGAGGGTCCCTAATGGTATGGGGGTGCCTTTTCTTACAGAGGGACGATGAAGCTCCAGGTGGGTGCAGGGTCGTCAGACAGCGGCTGGTTATGCTAGCATGTCACAAAAAGCATCGTTGGTGACGGAGGGCCATCGTTTGCGTGGGGATGGATGGTTATTCCAACAGGATAATGCTGCAATCCACGCTGCATCCCGGACCTTGACCTTTCTACAAGAAAATGGGTTCCATCTTTTGAGGCATCCTGCATGCTCATCGGACTTGAACCCAATTGAAAATGTTTGGGGATCGATGGCAACAGATGTTCATCGAAATGGCAAACAATATTCAACAAAAAATGAACTTCGTGAAGCTATCTTCAGAAGCTGGAGCAATATTCCTCGCAGTTTAACGGAAACATTAATTTCTAGCATGCCCCAAAGAATTTTTGAAGTCATCAAAACCAGTGGAGGTAGAAATCATTATTAAATTTGGTTGTTGAATGTTTTCGTACACTTTTTGTACAATTTCGTTGAATTTTTTATTTCTGGTCTTATAATTTTGATCAAGTGTAAAACGCCTCATTTTATAAAAATGCCAATTTCTCAATAAAATTTTCGGATTATAATTTTTTGTCTACATAAGCTTTTAGATTATAAGATTAGTAACCTTAAGCAAGAAATGTTTAAAATTTTTCCCTGAAAAACAATCTTTTTAAAAAAATTATTCAAAGGGTCTTAAATTTTTTATCAGGAGTGTATATTATTTTTTTTCTTTTCTTTCTCTTCTCTGTAACTTCTCTTTTTCTTCCTTTGCTTCATTTTTGTTTTCTCTCTTCAATTCCTCTTTCTTTCTTTTCCTTCCCATTTTTTCTCACTCATTCATTTGTGATTTATGAATGATTTATAACTAATCCTAAACATAATGTGTCGTAATTTGTCCAATAATTTTCCCCACCCTCACAAATTGCAATCTCTCCTCTTCTATTTTTCTCATTCCTACTTTTCCTGTTTCTTTTACCTTTTTTAAATTAATGCTTCTCTGTCTCTCTCCCTTTCAATCTATCTTTTCCACCATTTTTATTCGGTATAGTATTTCTTTTCTTACTTCAAATCCTCCTGTTTCCTTCTTACGTTCTGTTTTTCTTTCTTTAAATTCATTCATCGCAATTATTAATCAGTATAGTATTTCTTTTCTTACTTTAAATGCTACTTCTATTCTTGGCACTCGTATTTTCTTTCTTTTTTTTTTCTTTTAATGCGTTCATTTCTGAATTTTTCTTCAGTTTAGTCTTTTTCTGTTTACATTAAATCTTTCTTTAAATTCGTTCATCTCATTTATTATTCAGTTTTTTCTTCCTTCTCTGTATTTAAATCCTCGCTATCTTATATCATTCTTACGTACTTTCATTATTTTTCTTTCTTTAAATTCGTTATTCAGTTTAGTCATTTTCTTCTCACTTTTCTTCTCAGCATTTTATTTACTTCTACTATTCGTGGTTTTTTTTCTTATTCTTTCTTTCATTCTTTATTTCTTTCATTCTTTATTTCTTTCATTCTTTATTTCTTTCATCAAATTCTTTCATTTCTTAATGTTTATACAGTTTAGTCATTTTCTTTTTACTTTAACTCTGCAGTATTATATTTCCTTCTTCCGTTCATAAGTTCCTTTCTTATTTTTTCTTTTTCTTTATTTCTTTCTTTAAATTCCTTCATTTCTGAATTTTTATTCTGTTTAGTCTATTTTTTCTTACTTTAGATCATCAGCATTTTATTTTCTTCTATTCATGATGTCCTTTCTTTATTTCTTTAATTTTTCTTTCTTTCTTTTTCCTTTCTTTCTTTTTTTCCTTTCTTTCTTTTTTTCTTTTCTGTCTTTTTTTTTCTTTTCTGTCTTTTTTTTTTCTTTTCTGTCTTTTTTTTTTCTTTTCTGTCTTTTTTTTTTCTTTTCTGTCTTTTTTCTTTCTTTCTTTCTGTCTTTTTCTTTCTTTCTTTCTGTCTTTTTTTTTTTCTTTCTTTCTGTCTTTTTTCTTTCTTTCTGTCTTTTTCTTTCTTTCTGTCTTTTCTTTCTTTCTTTCTGTCTTTTTTTTTCTTTCTTTCTGTCTTTTTCTTTCTTTCTGTCTTTCTTTCTTTCTTTCTTTCTGTCTTTCTTTCTTTCTTTCTTTCTGTCTTTCTTTTCTTTCTTTCTTTTTTCTTTCTTTCTTTCTTTCTGTCTTTTTTTTCTTTCTTTCTTTCTTTCTGTCTTTTCTTTCTTTCTTTCTGTCTTTTCTTTCTTTCTTTCTTTCTGTCTTTTTCTTTCTTTCTTTCTTTCTGTCTTTTCTTTCTTTCTTTCTTTCTGTCTTTTTCTTTCTTTCTTTCTTTCTGTCTTTTTCTTTCTTTCTTTCTGTCTTTAAATTCCTTCATTTCATAGTTTTTATTCAATTTTTCATTTTGTTCTTCTATTCATGAGATCTTTCTTTCTTTCTTTCTTTCTTTCTCTCTTTAAATTCGTTCATTTCATAATTTTTGCTCAGTTTAGTCATTTTCTTTTTACTTTAACTCTGCAGCATTTTATTTCCTTCTTACATTCATAAGTTTCTTTCTTTTTCTTTTCTTCTTTCTTAAAATTTTATTCAGTTGAGTCTTTTTCTTCTTACTTTAAATCTCCGACATTTTTGTCCTTTTCCACATTTTCTCTTTTTCTTTCCTTCTTTAAAATAGGACTTTTTTTAAAACAGATTTCATCCCAAGCAAGGCTGTAAAGCCACTAGGACCCAAGGTGTTACTGTGTGTAGAAGAATTAAAAACATAAACTTTACTAAGGAGCAAGAATAAAACGAGTAATCAGGAAGACAGGAGAACACGATTGACAGTGCATTAATTTTTTGGAGATTAAAGTTAACTGGAAAGCGTGGAGTTCCACAAGCAATAAGTGCGAAAGAAGAAACTGTTAGCATAGAACTTACGGTTACATCTAGCTAACTCAACTGTATATTGGTGAGAAATCGTCGCCAGTTTCGTACTGCGTTTAAATTCCTAAAGTCTATGTACCCTGACGAAAAATTCATCTGAGCAGTTGGCATGGACGTACTTATAGAAAAGGCATAGAGAGGCAACTTTAAGGCCGTGGGGAAAGTGGTTGAAGCCGAGATGCAAGATCAGGGCCAATTTGGTTTTTATCAAGGATCTCTAGATTTAGAGCACCAAACCACATGTGGCAGCAATATTCTAAGCATAAACGAATGGTAGAATTTTAGATACGTAAGGTTGGATTCAAGAGAGA